GGGCTAATTGTTTCATCGCAGGTGGTCCTGTGAGTTTTTCTCTAACATGATAATATTCTAGCATCTTTTCCCCAGTCGACTAACGATCTCTATTATTTGCTTATTAGGGTTGCAGAGATCTCGCCAAGATTTAGACCCAGCTCTCTAGCCCCCAAACAATTGAGTTATTTAAGTAGAAATTGAAAAGAACAAGAGGTTGAACTTCACCTCCCTCTTCCTGGGTTCTGCAGTTCTCAGAAAATGCCATCTTCCACCTGAGGCGTGGCATCATATGATCTGGACACTAGCACATCTATTGCTTAAGATTTTCTAAAATAATCTCAGTTGCCAATAAGGACAATGAACTTCTGCAAAAGCCAGTCTGTCCGTTAGGGGTCCTGTCTTTAGAGCCCTCGGCTTGTTCCTCAGCTTACCTCTGGAGCTGAGGGAAATACTGGTTTCTGTCCCCCCCCAAAATGTGCTTTGTGTGTGTGTGTGTGTGCTAATGTCTCAAGAAGCAGGCCTAGACCCAAAATAATACATTAGTGCAGGGGCTGCTAAAGCAGAGTCCATTGGCCCTACTCAAATGTATGCTGATAGCATTTCCCTGGGAAAAGAACTCTTTATTTTATTTTATTTTATTTTTATTTTTTTACGTTCTTTAGAACTCTTTAGCTTTCATCAGACTCTCAAGAAATAGGAGCTTTGACCTCTAAAATGCTAAGACAGTTGCATTATCCTTTCAAGTTGTCAACAAGATCGTCACACCTTAGCCCTGTAGAAGATCCAAAAGGGCTGGGCACGGTGGCTCATGCCTGTAATCCTAGCACTCTAGAAGGGCAAGGCAGGTGGATAGCTTGATCTCACAAGTTCAAGACCAGCCTGAGCAAAAGTAAGACCCCTGTGTCTACTAAAAATAGAAAATCAGAGGCAAGAGCATCACTTGAGCCCAGGAGTTGGAGGTTGCTGTGAGGTATGATGCCTTGCCACCCTACCCAGGGCAACAGCTTGAAACTGTGTCTCAAAGAAAAAAGAAGACCCCAAGCTACATTTTTGTTTTCTCATCTGTAATGCCGAGTTGCATGAAAAAACATCCAACCAGGCACAGCCTGTGGCTCAGTGAGTAGGACGCCGGCCCCATATACCAAGGGTGGCGGTTCAAACCCAGCCCCCCGACAAACTGCACCAACTGGAGGTTGCCGTGAGCCGTGATGTCGCAGCACTTTACCAAGATGACAAAGTGAGACTCTGTCTCTAAAAAAACCCCAACCTAACCATTGGCTTCACTAGAGAAGTTCTAGGCAACAAACCTAGCTTGTACTCGATACTTTTGCAGCCTTCATTTATGAACATTCTGAAAAATAAAACTCTGGGGCCAAGGGTTTCTCCAGTTTACCTGGGAAATGCTGGTTTAGAAGGTTCCCTTGTTTTTCCATTCATTTCAAGCACTTAGGGGCCTGCAGGGTACTCTGCTGGGTACTCTACAGGCACTTGCTGGGTGGTCTAGGGAGACCCCCCCTTGGCGCTTGGCGGCCTACTCTAACTCAACCTCAGCTGCTGACACAGGGCTCCAGGGCTGACCGCGGGGACATGAAGTAATACACACCCAGCTCTGGATGCCGTGAAGCTCACCTTGGTAGCAGTTGGATGTTAGAGAAAATTACAAAACGTCTTTGAGGCTTCATTTTAGATTCCTCGTCTGAGAAATGGGGCTGTGGCTGCTACATGTACTTGGGGTTCTTTTAGGCAGGTCGTGCTGGATGATCTGCATCCTAGCTCTTTCCTCTTCAAATTTAGTCTTGAGCCCCGCACTCATTTTCCGGGAGCCCCCTTGCCCCTTTCTTTCGCGCCCTGTAAGAAAACTCATTTCCAGTCCATTCTCACTGTACCTGCTGTTCCCTCCACTAGGAGGTACTCCTTTGAGTCTTTGCAACTCTGCACTTCTGCTCGTTCCCTATCCTTGCATTTCAGCTCACACATGTTCCCTCCTCACAGACTTTTCCTGGCCACTCAGCCGGATCACACCCTCGCTCCATTGCCTTTCTACTTTCTTGTTTTCACAGAACATCACCTAATAACTTCACTACTGTACTTATTATTCAAACACTCATTTCTTCTCATTAGAACTTGTTCAGGGCTGTGGCTCCTAAACACAGGACAGTGCTTGGAAAAGTCTAGAACCCAGGAGTAGGTATTTGTTGAATGAATGAACCAAATGAAATAAGGTAAAGGGCAGGCATCCTCAAACTATGGCCCACGGGCCACAGGCAGCCCGCCTAGGACATTTATCCAGCCCGCCGGGTGTTTTTGCTGCCGCTGCCCGTCCTGCTTAGCAGCCGACTCCTCCCCAGCCCGCAGTCTGGCCCTCCAATGGTATGAGGGACAGTAAACTGGCCCCCTGTTGAAAAAGTTTGAGAAGTAGGCGGTGCCTGTGGCTTAACGGAGTAGGGCGCTGGCCCCATATGCCGGAGGTGGCGGGTTCAAATCCAGTCCTGGCCAAAAACTGCAAAAAAAAAAGTTTGAGGACCCCTCAAACCCCTCAAAAGTTTGAGGTAAAGGGTGTTGACTGGTACAAACGAAAAACCAATCAACATTCGGCGATTAAGTTTGCTTTTATTCTTTTTTTGGCCTTTATTCTTGTTATTATAATATTTACATGTCAGAGGAGGCGAGTTGTTTTTACATTTGCATCACAAAGTGGCTCAAAAAGAGCAATTGACCTAGAACTGTAGGCAAAACAGAGAATTACTGGCTGCTTTGACAGCACACACCCTTTTCATTCTCCACACCCGCGAGGTTTACCAAAAAGTCTTAGGCGGTTTTCCCCGCGGCCAAACGTGACAGCTATTAAAATGGCAGGTTTCTGGGTGGAAAGGGTGATGCAGATTCAGAGGAGGGGAAGGCTTGTCTGCGAGCGGATGCTCTACTGGACAGGTAACACGGAATGGGTGAGGGGCGAGCAGTGCGCTGGGAAGGAAGGTTTTTATTTATTTTTTTGAGAGAGAGTCTCTATGTCTCCTTAGATAGAGTGCTAGGGCATCACAGCTCACAGCAACCTCCAACTCTTGAGCTTACGTGATTTTCCTGCCTCAGCCTCCCAAGTACCTGGGACTACAGGCACCCGCCAAAATGCCCGGTTCTTTTTTGGTTGCAGCCATCATTGTTGTTTGGCAGGCCGGGCCTGGGTTCGAACCCGCCAGCTCCGGAGGCCAGCACCCTAGCTGCTGAGCTACAAACGCCGAGCCTTGGAAGGAAGTTTTAAACTGAAAGGAGAACTCCATAATTTCTACCAGAGACACCAAAAGTCACCCCAAATAAGCCTTTAAGCTAATTAAGAGAACTGGACCCATACTATAAACGCAGAAGTTTTTGTTTGTTTGGTTGGTTTTTTTTGTTTTGTTTTTTCTTTGGCCAGGGCTGGGTTTGAAACCAGCAAATGGGGCTGACATCCTTACTTGAGCCGCAGGCGCTGCCCTTTGTTTTTGTTTTGTTTTGTTTTGTATGAGACAGAGCCTCAAACTGTCACCCTGGGTAGAGTGCCGTGGCATCACAGTTCACAGCAACCTCCAACTCTAGGGCTCAAGCGTTCTTCTGCCTCCACCTCCCAAGTAGCTGGGACCACAGGTGCCCACCACAATGCCCGGCTATTCTTTGGTTGCAGCCGTCACTGTTGCTTGGTGGGCCCAGGTTGGATTCGAACCCGCCAGCTCAGGTGTATGTGGCTGGCTCCTTAGCCACTTGAGCCACAGGCGCAGAGCCTATTTGGTTGGTTTTTTTGAGACAGAGTCTCAAGCTGTCACTCTGTAGAGTTCTGTGGTGTCACAGCTCACAGCAACCTCAAAGTCTTGGGCTTAAGTGATTCTTTTGCCTCAGCCTCCCAAGCAGCTGGAACTACAGGTGCTCGTCAAACACCCGGCTATTTTTGTTGTTGTTGCAGTTGTCATTGTTATTTTAGCTGGTGTAGGTCCAGTTCGAATTCACCAGCCTTAGTGTATGTGGCTGAAGCCCACCCCACTGAGCTACGGGTACGGCCAATGCAGAAATTTTTACGCACGTCCAGATAGTTACCCATAAACCTTTCCTAACTGTTTTGGAGCCTGGTGCAGGTGTGGGGGGAGACAATAGCCTGGATTCCATTTCCATCTCTTGAGTGGTGGTATATTATACAAAGGTCATGAAAAGCCTTGAATGCCAGGGCAAGGACTCTAGGCCTTTGGACCTGAGATCTCTAAGGAGACCAATGAAGAGCGGTGTAAGTAAAATGGTACTTTAGGAGGAAAGAGTCCATTTGGAGATGCCAGAGGGAAGCCTGTTACTAGTCCACACAAGAAAGAGCGTCTAGGCCAGTGCAGTGCTGCATGCCTGTAACCCTAGGACCCTGGAAAGCCAAGGCGGGTGGATTTCCTGAGCTCAGGAGTTCGACAGCAGCCTGAGCAACAGTGAGACGCTGTCCCTAAAAAAAATAGCTGGGCATTGTGGTGGGTGCCTGTAGTCTCAGCTGTTTGGGAGGCTAAGGCAAGAGGAACTCTTGAGCCTAAGAGTTGGAGGTTACTGTGAGCTATGATGGCACAGCACTCTACTAAGGGCAACAAAATGAGATTCTATCCCAAAAAAATAAAAAAGAAAGGAAGAAAGAGAGAGTATAGAGAACAGAATAGGGAGAGAAGTAAGAGGTGGGAGAAAGGGGGTGGACATGAGTTGCATGGGTCAGAAATTTCTGGTGTGACTATACAAGTCAGAGCTACGACCCTAAGTTGGGCGGCAGTGTCATGGGTTTGTTCTAATGCTTTTGGCTCATAGGATGCAAACTATCACACTATTATGTGCCTCTTCAAAATAATAGCCCCTGGTGTCTACTGGCCTTGCATGAAATAGAAATTATAAAGGCACTGTATCTTTTAAAAAAAATCCCCTTTTGCAGTACTTCCTTAAAACCAGCTATTTAATGTAACTCTGACAGTGCGTTATTGGTGATTGTGTCCTAAGAATTCTGATTTTAAAAGCATTTTTTTTCATGACGGCCTACCAATGAATTAACAATTCCGACATTAATGAAACAACTTTATAAAGGGTTGAATATTTTCCTGGTAAGTGTTCAGCGTATGCTTTTCGAAATACCTTATAATCCCTGTTTATTTTCTCCTTTTATCTACTGAGTGTTTATTTTCCATCTTTTTAGTTGCAAGAAATGCTAATCAATTAAGTGATCAGTAATGTTTGCAAGCTTTCTGCTTCTCACTGGGCTTGCTACTGGTATAGTTTTTGTTTTGTTTTGTTTGGCCGGGGCTGAGTTTTAACCCGCCACCTCTGGCATATGGGGCAGGCGCCCTACCCTTTTGAGCCACAGGCATCACTCAACTACTAGTGTAGTTAGTTTTATGGAGTATTCCTAGTCAAAGGAATCAGGCTGATTTTAGGTATTTTAATTCAAAGTATTACCCAGTGAATGCTTCAGTGCTTTTTGACTTGAAGCCTAATTAATTGAAAGTCGTTAATCTGCCTTTTAAAAAATATGCACTAGTGATAATATTCATAAAAGATCATAGCTCAAAGAGTTATTTGTGGATTTCTTCTCTTTTTTTAACTGTCTTTTTCTCTTTCTGTCTGTCTGTCTTTGATCCCAGACAACTTGCTAACCCACTGCAGTTCAATTGGGAGCCTGAGTGATAATTGTTTATTTAAAGGACAATCTGAATTACTTAGAGATAAGAAAGTAGACAACAAACTTATAGAAAGAGGTCTTAGATTCTAGGGAACCCAAGGGGCTTTACTGGCTAAATTTTATTTGTATTGAACATTAAATTTCCTTGGGAGAAAAAGCATGCCTTTAAGCAGATTCTCAACGACCACAGGACATCAAAAGGTTTTTAAAAATCCTTACTCTTGGTGGTACCTGTAGCTCAAGCAGCTAAGGCTCCAGCCGCATACACTAAAGCTGGTGGGTACGAATCCAGCCTGGGCCTGCCGAACAACAATGACAACTACAACCAAAAAATAGCCAGGCACTGTGGCGGGTGCCTATAATCCCAGCTACTTGGGAGGCTGAGGCAAGAGAATAGCTTAAGCCCAGGAGTTGGAGGTTGCTGTGAGCTGTGACGCCACAGCACTCTACCCAGGGTGACAGCTTGAGGCGCTCTCAAAAAGAAAAAAAAACCTTAATGCTACAGGGTGGCACCTATGGCTCAAGGAGCAAGGCACCGGTCCCATATATCAGGGGTGGTGGGTTCAAGCCTGGCCCCAGACAAAACTGGAAAAAAACCAAAACTCCTTACTGTTACACAGGAGAATTCATGCTAAAGTAAAAAGAATTTTGATTTTCAGAATTTTTAAATACTTAAAAGAATTTTGAAACACTTCAAATACTTAAATATACTTTTTTTGTGCAAGCACCCAAATACTTAAATGTGCTTTTGAGTTATTTCCATTTTCTTTTAATAGTTAAGCAGTTTAGACAATTAATAATTATGCTTAACTGTCTTAAGATTTTAAAAGTATTATAATATGTTGGAAAAGGAAAAAGAAATGTTCGTAGGAATTTTTGGGGGGTTTTTTTGTGGTAAGATAGGACTTTTATTAGACATTAAAATAATAGAATAAAGAATTCCTGTACAAGGAATACAGAAGAAGTAAAAAGCCCCAGAGCTGCTGTTAAGGGGAATAAACTGAAGAACTCACTCGGGAAGGAAGTTTTGTAGAAAGAAAATTTATATAATTCATGAAAGAGAATTCAAATGATGCTCTTGGCTTCTGTCTTTTCAGAAAAATTTGTGAGCAAGATCTTCTCATTCAGAAACAAATTAAAGACTGACTCTAATTTTGCTTTTTAGAGAGGGAACTTTTCCAGAATTGTCCATTTATTTTCTTTTTTATGCCTTTCTTTCAGCAGCAAGCGCCACGGAATAGAATCGTCGATTCATTTTTGTTTGTTTGTTTTTTACTCACCACTATACGAACGAGGAGAATCGTCAGTTTATTACTGAAGAATGGTAAGCTGACATTTTAAAATATTTATTCTCCCTCTGTCTTAAAAGTAAAATATTTGGATTGTGTTAATAAGGATACAAGTAGTTTATCCTTCCTCACCCGTTATCTATCAACTATATAGCCTACGTGAGGTGCAGGTATTCCTATTGGAGAAATTGTAGGTATTATAGGCACTCAATTGTAGGTATTGGAGACAAACTTCTTTTATTTTTTTTGTCTCACTCTGTCACTGTTGGTAGAGTGCCGTGGTGTCACAGCTCACAGCAGCCTCCAGCTCTTGGGCTTAGGCAATTCTCTTGCCTCAGACTCCCGAGGAGCTGGGACTGCAGGGACCCACCACAACGCCCAGCTATTTTTTTTGTTGTAGGTTGGTCAGGGCCGGGTTCGAACTGGCCACCCTCGGTATATGGGGCCAGTGTCCTACTCACCAAGCCACAGGCGCCACCCTGGAGACAAACTTTTGAATTTAGGAACATTTCATTTGTAAGCAACAATTCACAGGTTCTGTTTCATTGAAGATATTTCTTTGACCCTGTTTTCTAAGTCAATCTTCTCTGCTCTGTCTACAATACTTTGCTCAAGTTTTACAAGAATGTTAAATACTATTTCTGGAATGAATAGCATTCTCTAAATATTATACCATGTAGTCTCTAAACATTATACCATAGCATAGGTAGTGATTGTCAGAGAGGTAGACTTTGTACCATAAGGTACATTTGCTGAAGTCTGAAACATTTTTGACGGTCATGACTGCACTCGGGGGTGCTTTTGGCACCTAATGGGTGCAGGACACAGATGCTGCTGAACATCCTACAAGGCACAGGACAGGTCCCCATAGCGAAGACTCCGCCAACCCCAAATGTCAACAGTGCCAAGCTTGAGAAACCTTCCTTTGGACTAAATATTTTATATAAAGATGATTATGTTAATTGAAAATTTCATAATTCCATAATTCTGCCATTGTTCCATCAGGCTTCTCTTGAACAGGACAGGCTAGGTCAAGCATTTGAAGATGCTTTTGAGATACTGAGGCAACATTCAACCAGCGATCTTCAGTATCCCCCAGGTAAAGATAAATCATTTACTCTCTTCTGTTGGCACACTAAATGGTCACATGCACATATAAGATTTGACCATATAAGACTGGACCTGTGGCTCAAGTGGCTAAGGCGCCAGCCACATACACCTGAGCTGGCAGGCTTGAATCCAGCCCAGGCCCACCAAACAACAATGACGGCTGCAACCAAAAAATAGCTGGGCATTGTCCAGCTACTTGGGAAGCAGAGGCAGAGGACTTGCTTGAGCCCAGGAGTTGGAGGTTGCTGTGAGCTGTAATGCCACAGCACTCTACCCAGGGTGACAGCTTGAGAATCTGTCTCAAAAAAAAAAAAAAAAAAAGATTGGAACAGAAACCATTTTTACCTAAAACATCTGGGATCATAATAATTCTAACAAACGAAAAATGCATCCAGGGTTATCCAGCCTAAATAAAATCGTTAAAGTCTCACATATAAAAATGCAGAGAAGGGCGGAGCTTGTGGCTCAGTGGGTAGGATGCTGGCCCCATATACCAAGGGTGGCAGGTTTGAACCCAGCCCCGGCCAGCTAAAACAGCAGCAGCAACTGCAACAAAGGATAGCCGGGCGTTGTGGTGGGTACTGGTAGTCCCCGCTACTCGGGAGGCTGAGGCAAGAGAATTGCCTAAGCCCAAGAACTGGAGGTTATTGTGAGCTGTGACGCCATGGCACTCTATCGAGGGCAACAGAGTGAGACTCTATCTCAAAAAAATAAATAAGTAAAATAAAATAGAATCTCAGCGAATAACATTCCACACAGGAATACAAAGACATATAATATACAATTTTTTTTTTGAGACAGAGTGTTACTTTGTTGCCCTTCATAGAGGGCTGTGGTGTTACAGCTCACAGCAACCTCAAATTCTTGGGCTCAAGTGATTCTCTTGCCTCAGCTTCCCTAGTATCTGGGACTACAGGTGCCCACCACAACCCCCAGCTATTTTTTTTTTTTTTTTTTAGAGATGGGGTATCATTGTGGCTCAGGCTGGTCTCGAAGCGGTCAGCTCAGGCAATCCACCCACCTCAGGCTCCCAGAGTGCTAGGATTACAGGTGTATGCCAGCACATCTAGTCCTACTTTATTTTATTTTGTTAGAGAGAGGATCTACTCTGCTGCACAGGCTATAGTAGAACAGGATACTGGTACTATCATAGTTCACTGCCACCTCAGACTCTGGGTTCAAGGCATCCTCCCACCTTAGCCTCCTGAGGAGCTGAGACTACAGGTGTGTGCCACCACACCTGGCTAATTCTTTTTTTTTTTTTCTTTTTCTAAAGACAGGATCTCACTATTTTGCCCAGGCTGGTCTCAAACTCCTGGGCTCACGCGATCTTCCCAGCTTGACTCACCAAAGTCCTGGGATTATAGGTCTGCGCCACTACACCAGATACGCTTTTAAGAATATCCGGCTAGCATTTATTTACCTCATAAATCTATCATTTTATCTATTCAGGGAAGATTTTTAAATTGTTCCAATTTATCTTATAGATCTTCTATCCACCCAAGATATAGTCAACTTAGAAGAATAAGTATTTTTATCTTTCTTCACCCATTATCCTATCAACGATATGGCCTAGGTGAGGCAGACATATTTTCTATTGAGTTTATAAAGGGTATTACAGAGTATACCAACATAAAAAAAAATCAGGAAGTTTCAGCAAAAAGCACATACTCTAAAGTGGGCTGTGTAAAAGAATTTCTGTGATAGCAGCATAGTGGGATAAAAACCACAGGACAAGTAGAAAGCAGGAAGAAAACATAGAAGGGGACAATTTTGTACAGAAACGTTTTTTTTCTTTTGAGACAGAGTCTCACTTTATCACCCTCATTAGAGTGCCATGGTGTTACAAGCTCACAGCAACCTCCAACTCCTGGGTTTAGGTGATTCTCTTGCCTCAGCCTCCAGAGTAGCTGGGACTACAGGCGCCCTCCACGCTGCCCGGCTATTTTTTTGTTGTTGCAGTTTGGCCGGGGCCAGGTTTGAACCTGCCACTCTCAGTATATGGGGCTGGCACCTTACCCACTGAGCCACAGGCGCCACCCATATTTTTTTTTTTACATATCTATACAAATATAAGTTTTGACTTGTAACGTTTGTTCTCCATTTTTCAATTAGATTACAAAAATTACCTGGCTTTCATCAACCATTATCCTCACGTCAGAGGAACTTCCCATTGCTACGGAATGTTGCCTGCAGAGGACCCTGTCTGTAACTGGAGAACTGTGATCGTAAGTACATTTACCAGGAGGCAGTCTTCAGCCACCGGCAACTTTCCTGGGTTCCTTTTTTTTTGACACAGAGTCTCATTATGTCGCTCTTGGTAGAGTGCTGTGGCGTCACAGCTCACAGCAACCTCAAACTCTTGGGTTCAAGCAATTCTCCTGCCCCAGCCTCCTGAGTAGCTGGACCGCAACGCCTGGCTGTTTTTTTGTTGTTTAGCAGGCCTGGGCCAGGTTCAAACCCACCAGCCTAGGTGCATGTGGCCGGCACCCTACCCACTGAGCTACGGGCATCGAGTCCTTTCCTGTGTTTTTGCCAGCCTTCTGTCAGGCATATGCTAGCTGGACTCCAGCTGAAAGATAGCACTGCCCATGAAAATGCTTACTCAGGGTCCTCTGTTGTGGTCTGAACTTGACAGTCAACATGGAACTAGCATAGCATTGCTGGCGGGAAGGAAGCTGCCCTTCATCTTCCCTCCCTACTCAGCCTCAGACTGGTTTGAATGACTTCTGTAAAGAGGAGCGTTTTCAGGGTTTTTACATCACTGCTTCTCCTTAATCCATCTGGGAAATGGCAAAAAAAAAAAAAAAAAAAAAAGTTATGATTCCCCTAAAAGCCGTAAGGGCAAAGACCTAACCTTCCCCTGCACAGGCTTTACCTATAATCTCATATTAACCCATCTCAGAGTTAGCTATACGTATTAGACCAGTTCTTCAGATTTTAGCAGCCCCACAGCAAAGGGAACTGTCCCCACCACTCTGCATTCCCGGATTCTTTGACACTGTGTTCTTCCCACATCCCTTGTGTCAAGCAGTTTTTTTTTTTTTTTTTTTTTTGGAGACAGAGCCTCAAGCTGTCCCCCTGGGTAGAGTGCTGTGGCATCACAGCTCACAGCAACTGCCAACTCCTGGGCTCAAGCGAGTCTCCTGCCTCTGCCTCCCAAGTAGCTGGGACCACAGGCGCCCACCACAATGCCTGGCTCTTTTCTGGTTGCAGCCGTCATTGTTGTTTGGTGGGCCCAGGCTGGATTCGAACCCAGCAGCTTAGGTGTATGTGGCTGGCGCCTTAGTCACTTGAGCCACAGGTGCTGAGCCATGTCAAGCAGTTCTAACGTACTGGGATGTAAACGTAAAATTTTTAAAATGTTTCTTCAGTCATTACCTTCAACCATGTGATGTCAAATGTCCTTTTTCTGTGCCTGTAAATTGTTTCCTCAGGGCCTTGAAGAGAGGGTGATTTCATTCCAGCTTAACCTCATCTAACTTTACTTAGGGTTGCCAGGTAAAAGGTGAGATGCCCAGGGTTTTGTTTGTTTTGTTTTTCTTTTTGCAACAGGGTCTTGCTCTGTATCTCAGGCTAGAGTGCAGTGGTGTCATCATAGCTCACTGCAGCCCCAAAGCCCTGGGCTCAAGCGATCCTCCACCTTGGCCTTCCAGGGTCCTAGGATTACAGACATAAACCACCACAGCCAGTTTTTTTATTTTTTTGAGACAGAGTCGCACTATGTTCCCCTCTGTAGAGTGATGTTACATCATAGCTCACAGCAACCTCCAACTCTTGGGTTTAAGTGATTCTCTTGCCTCAGCCTCCCAAGTAGCTGGGACTACAGGTGCTGGCCACAACACCCAGCTATTTTTTGGTTGCAGTTGTCAATGTTGTTTAGCTGGCCCACGTGGGGTTTAAACCCACTAGACTCAGTGCATGTGGCTGGCGCTGTAACCACTGTGCTATGGGAGCTGAGCCTCACATCCAGTTTTCTTTTTTTTTTGTTTTTTTTTTTGTTTGTTTTTTGAGACAGAGCCTCAGGTTATCACCCTAGGTAGAGTGCTGTGGCATCACAGCTCACAGCAACCTCCAACTCCTGGGCTCAAGTGATTCTCCTGCCTTCGCCTCCCAAGCAGCTGGGACTACAGGCTCTCACCACAACGCCTGGCTATTTTTTGGTTGCTGCTGTTGTTGTTGTTTGGCAGGCCCAGGCTGGATTTGAACCACCCAGCTCGGGTGTATGTGGCTGGTGCCTTAGCCGCTTGAGCCACAGGCGCCCAGCCCACATCCAGCTTTCTTTGAGACAGAGTCTCACTCCATTGCTCAGTTTGCAGTGCAGTAGCATAATCATAGCTCCCGGCAGCCTCAACCCTCTGGGCTCAAGCAATCCTCTTTCCACAGCCTCCCAAGTAGCTGGGACTATAGGCATGTTCTACAAGACCTGGCTAATTTTTTTATTTTTAATGAAGATATGATCTCACTCTTGCTCAGGCTGGTCTCAAACTCCTAGCCTCAAGCAATCCTCCCACCTCAGCCTCCCAAAGTGCTAGGATCACAGGGAATGATCCACCAAGCCTGACTAGGATGCCCAATATTTTATCTTCTCAATCTGGCAATCCCTACTTCCTTCTACCCCATCTCCTGTTTTCTAGCACACACCTTACAACCTCTTATGCTGGAGACTCCTTGCCTGCTAAGCAGCCCTCTTTTGTGGGTTATAGAAAAATGGCTCAAGCTCAGCCACTTCCACTGTATCTAATAAACCCATGGGGACCCACATATCCTGGCCATATGTGAGTGGCAAGAGCTCGGGCTGCTTCCTCCTGGAAGCTGCTTGGGTCTGCCCCCTCTCAGGCTTTGCCCTCCCCTGGCTGCCATCTTTCTTTTCTCACCTCCTGTTTCCCAGATGGGCATCCAACACAGCAGTGGAAGCCCAACAGCCCTTTTCACTGATACCACAATCTTTGCTAATGATTCTTTTGATTTGTTCTTTCTTACTGGGCACTTTTACAGAAAAGAAAGAAAGCAATCCCTTCTTTCTCATAGGGAGGGAAAGACAGACAGCTCCTTCTGCCCCTCGGTCCCCCCATTATATAGACTCAATTCTGGTTCTGCCCTGGGAACTATCTGGCTGCAGTTCAGGATAATATGCATGTACCTTTCAGGATTTAAAAGATACTTGACCTCTTTTGGCCTTTAAGAGGTTTCTTTTTTTTTTTTTTCTTTTCCGAGTCTTAGTCTCTTACCCCAGTTAGAATGTAATGGTGTCACTCTAGCTCACTGCAGCCTCAAACTCCTGGACTGAAGTGATTCTCCTGCCTCAGCCTCCTAAGTAGCTAGGAATACAGGGTGCACCACCATTAGCCCCTGCTCATTTTTTCATTTTTTTGTACAGACGGGGGTCTCGCTTTTTCTTGCACAGGCTGTTTACTCAAACTCCTGGCCTCAAGCAATCCTCCTGCCTCGGCCTCTCAGAGTGCTGTGCCCTTAGCTTTTGGCTTTAGCCTTTAATAAGGGGCCACAGAAAAAGTCCCACTTAACATCCTGCTGTATTATTTATATAGAACAGTGCGGCAGACTACTGTTGTGAAGGCAACTGTCATCAGTCTCTACAGAACATAGCTGAAAACCAGCTGGTACAACCTGCTCTGCTCCAGCACAGAGCGGGGAAAGGTACGTTGCCCTATCACTCCTCATACGGGTAAAAGAACCACATCTTCCTCACCGTTGCTTTAAGGGGATTTTGTATCCCAGTTTGAAATGGTATTTGCAAAATAGGCTCTTCCTACAATTGAGAATAATTTAACTCTGATTGAATGATTCTAAGCCATTCTTCTTGGGGGAGGCTTCCTGCAAAACCTCAAATTGTCACTTAGGTCAAATAAATAAGTATTCAAGAACAATGTATATATACCTCCCGACATTGACCACTCCCTTAAGTTGACTTAATTTGTGTAGACTGGACATGCACCACATGTACATATCAGCACTGTAGTTCTAGTTCCCTATGTTGGCTAGTTGTGACAGTCCCTGGGGTGGTCAACTGACAGATTTTACTGTATTTTAGTTATAGAAGGGAGAACTTTTCCATACATTATTTTAGCAATTATATTCCAATTTGAAGCCTTTGGGATTTAAACCTTCTTCTCTCTTGAGTTTTCTGCAAAACAGTTCCATAATGATTTACTATTTCATGAAATTGAAATTCATACATTTAAGATGATGATGGTCTCGCTTAACAGACTGGCAAAAATGTTAAATCCAGAGCGTAGCCTCTGTGGGCTGAGATGTGGGCTGCACCTTCCTCATGCCCTAGTGGGGGAGTGTAAACTGTTACCCAGTTCTGTAAGGTAATTTGGTGATACCTATCAAAAGTTTCAGTCAGAAACTTGATACTTTGATGCCATATAACTCATAATCAACTCAATAGTTGATTGTTAGCTCTGTGTTAATTGCATGAGCCTGGGCAAATCACTTACCCTTCTCTACTACACCGTTTCCTCATGCAAAAAATCAAATATCCACGTGCTTACCTGGCAGGGCAGAGTCCATGATCACAAAGGTGGTTTTCCCAGGACGAGACTTATCCATTGCACTCTGGATATGCTGACCCCGGCGATTTCCCCAAATGTAGGAAACTCGATTGCATAATTTGTGGTAGAGTAGGTTCACCTTTTTTCCTGTAAAGAAAAAAAATCAAATAGTAACAACTGTACCAATACTGTAAGAGTGCCATAAAAATTAAATAAGAAAACTCCTGTAATGCATTATGCTTACAGACTGTCACCGTGCATAATTTCTCAGCATACGATAAATATGAGTGCGTGTACATGTGTATGTATTTAGATGGTCTGCAGCTTACAATTTTTTAACCGTTACTTTCTTTCTGTGTATTTTTCTTTTTTTTTGAGACAGAGTCTTACGTTGTCACCCTTACTAGAGTGCCGTGGCATCATAACTCATAGCAACCTCAAACTCTTGAGCTTAAGTGATTCTCTTGCCTCAGTCTCCCAAGTAGCTGGGACTACAGGTGCCCATCACAAGGCCCGGCTATTTTTTGTTGCAGTTTCATTGTTGTTTAGCTGGTCTGGGCTGGGTTTGAACCCGCCAGCCTCAGTGTATGTGGCTGGCGCCATGACAGCTGTGCCACGAGGGCCGAGCCTCCCTCTGTGTATTAATGGCAAACCCCTTAAAATCATTATGGTTTTCACATCAGCACCAGTGTTCAATATATTACATGAGGTATTCAATACTTTATTATTAAATAGCTTTGTGTTAGATGATTTTGCTCAACTGTAGGTTAGTAGTTTCCTCAGTACATTTAAGGTAGGGTAAGCTAACCTCTGATGTTTGGGGAATTAGGTATATGAAATGCGTTTTTAGCCTACAGTATTTTCAACGTACAATGGGTTTATTGAGACCGAATCACACCAGAAGTTGAGGAACATCTGTATGTAAAATACATACACAGATGTATTTTAGTGTTTATTGCAACATTGTTTATGATAGTTAAAAAAATAGGAACTATTTTTTGGCACCTGTGGCTCACTGGGTAGGGGGCTGGTCCCATATACCAAGGGTGGAAGGTTCGAATCCAACCCCAACCAAACTGCAACAAAAATATAGCCAGGCATTGTGGCAGATGCCTGTAGTCCCAGCTACATGGGAGGCCAAGGCAAGAGAATCGCCTAAGCTGAGGAGTCGAAGGTTGCTGTGAGCTATGATGCAACCGTACTCTACTGAGGGTGATAAAGTGAGACTCTGTCTCCCAAAAAAAAGGAACTCTCCTCCCATATTTGTAGGCATATGAAATATTAAGATGTACTACATGTGAGCTGTATCCCAGTGTTGTATAGCTGTATCCCTATTTTTAAAATTATACAGTATCATAGTTATTTTAAATTATTTTCAATGAATTTTTTGAAAACCTAGTTTTGATCCTATAAAACAGTGCACTGAATCCAAGAATCATAAAATTCTAAATATGCAGTACTATTCTAATCCAGCAAGGGATAATGCATAAAATCACCTAGATAAAATATATACATTGTATCACTGAATATTGAAGTACTATCATGTGAAGGATGGGGGACATATTCTAAGAAATGTGTCACCTGGAGCGTTCAGCCTTGTGGGAACACCACAGAATGTGCTTACACAAACCCAGAGGCTATAACCTCTCCACACCTGGGTCATGTGATATAGCCTGCTGCTCCTAGGCTGCGAACCTGTACAGCACGTGATTGTACTGGATGCTGTAGGTCATTGTAACACAATGGTATCTGTGCATCTAAACACAGAAAAGGTACAGTAAAAACATGGTATAAAAGGTTAGAAATGGGAGCGGTGCCTGTGGCCAAGTGGGTAGGACGCTGGCCCCATATACAGAGGGTGGTGGGTTCAAACCCAGCCCGGGCCAAACTGCAACAAAAGAATAGCGGGGCCTTACGGGCAGATGCCTGTAGTCCCAGCTACTCGGGAGGCTGAGGCAAGAGAAGCACCCAAGCCCAGGAGTTTGAGGTTGCTGTGAGCTGTGTGATGCCACGGCACTCTACTGAGGGCGATAAAGTGAGACTGTTTCTGCCCCCCAAAAAGGTTAGAAATGGTACACCCGTATCTGACTCTTACCATGAATGGGGCTTGCAGGACTGGAAGTTGCTCTGTGTGAGTCAGTGATGGGTGCTGAGTGAGTATGAAGACCTAGAACATTCTACAATAATTTATTTTTAAAAGGCTTGCTTTCTTCAATAATAAACCTAGCTTACTGTAAATTTTAAACCTTACATACCTTTTAACTTTAACTCTTCTACTTTTTGTAATACCTTCTTTCTTTATATCCTTATTCGGTGAGCTTTTCTTCAATCTTATTTTACTTTTAGTTATTTATTTCTTTGAGACAGAGTCTTGCTCTGTTGCCCAGGGTAGGGGGTGGAAGCACCAGCTTAGCTCACAGCAATCTCGAACTCCTGGGCTCCAGCAATCCTGCCTCAACTTACCAAGTAGCTGGGACTACTGGCTCCTGACGCACAGCCCAGTTAATTTTTCTATTTTTCATAGAGATGGGGGTCTCACTCTTGTTCAGGCCGGTCTCAAACTCCAGAGCTCAAGCAATCCACCCACCTCAGCCTCCCAGAGGGCTAAGATTACAGGCATGAGCCACCACATGTGGCTCTTTTTTCTATTCAAAATTTTTTTATTTTCAATTTTTTTCTTTTTAACCTGTTTTGTTAAAAATTCAGACACAGGACAGTGCCCATGGCTCAGTGGGTAGGGCGCCGGCCACATAAACCCAGGCTGGCAGGTTTGAACCTGGCCTGGGCCAGCTAAACCAGAATGACAACTGCAACAAAAAATGGCTGAGCGTTGTGGTGGGCGCTTGTAGTCCTAGCTACTTGGGAGGCTGAGGCAGGAGAATCCTTTAAGCCCAAGAGTTTGAGGTTGGTGTGAGCTGTGATGCCACACCAAGGGCAACATAGTGAGACTCTGTCTCAAAAAAAAAAAAAAATTCAGACGCACACGTTAGATGAGGCCGCTGGAGTCAAGATCATTAACATCACTGTCCTCCACCTCCTGTCCCACTGGAAGACCTTCAGAGGCAACAGCACACGGGAAGGTGTCATCCCCCTTGATAACAACAGCCTTCTGCTAGAATATTCCCTGAAGGACCTGCCTACGGCTGTTTTAAAATTAACTTTTTGAGAATAAGCAGAAGCCTGCGGGGTATGGTGTGGCTCCCCCTGTAATCCTAGCACTCTGGGAAGCCGAGGAAGGTGGATTGCTTGAGCTCTGGGGTCCAAGACCAGCCTGAGGAAGAGTGAGACCCCTATTTCTATTAAAAATAGAAAAACTGGGCATCGTGGTGAGCGCCTGTAGTCCCAGCTATTTGGGAGGCTGTGGCAAGAGGATTGCTCAAGGCCAAGAGTTTGAGGTTGCTGTGAGCTATGATGGTAGAACCCAGGGCTACAGAGTGAGACTCTATTCAGGGGTCCTCAAACGTTTTAAGCAGGGGGCCAGTTCATGGTCCCTCAGACCGTTGGAGGACCGGACTTCGGGTCCCGGCTCGAGCCAGCTGCTAAGCAGGACAGGTAGTGGCGGCGAAAAACACCTGGCAGGAAGGATAAATGTCCTAGGCGGGCTGCATGTGGCCCGGGGCGGGCCTAGTTTGAGGACGCCTGCGTCTATTTCAATAAAAAAAGATTAAGTATCAGTAGTACGGTCTAAAATAATGATAAAAAGTATTGTATAGTAAATACTAGGCGATAGGAATTTTCAGCTCCCTTATCACCTTATGGGATCACCATTTGTTAACCTGAGCATTTTTTTTTTTTTTTGAGACAAGGTCTCACTATGTTGCCCTCAGAGTGCTGTAGTGTCACAGCTCACAGCAACCTCAAATTTCTGGGCTTAAGAGATTCTCTTGCCTCAGCCTCCCAAGTTGCTGGGGCTACAGGTGCCCGCCACAACGCCCGTCTATTTTTTGGTTGCAGTTGTCATAATTGTCCAGCAGGCCCTGGCTGGGCTCAAACCCGCCAGCCTCAGTGCATGTGGCCAGCCTCCTACTCACTGAGCCATGGCCACCAAGCCTGTGGTTAACTTGAAATGTCATTCTTCAGCACCAGACTGTAGAATTTAGTACTAATCTGATATAAGGAGAATAATGCTTCCACTTCTGTTTAGCTATTTAGTTTGTCCCCTATAATTTTTTTTGGCAGCCACCCCAGACTCTGTTTAGCTATTTAGTTTGTCCCCTATAATTTTTTTTGGCAGCCACCCCAGACTCAAATAGGTTCAACGAGACTCCCTCACCTATAACCTTTTTTTTTTTTTTGGCTGGGGCTGGGTTTGAACCCGCCACCTCTGGTATATGGGGCCAGCGCCCTACCTTTCTGAGCCACAGGCACTGCCCAACCTATAACCTTTTTAAAACAAACCAAACCAAACCAGCTCCAGGGTATGAAGCCTGTATCTTCTCACTGACGTTTTGTGGTGTGGAGCTTTGCCATTAGGCAACACATCGCTCTCCATTTTTTGTGTGTAGGTATTAATCTTTCGACTAAAATAAGGCTACGTTTGAAACAGAATGAAATTTCAAAATATTTGGGGCATTCATTCTTGGCAAAAAAAAAAAAATTACACTCATAAAATGGAATATATATAGCTATTAAGAGGTTAAAAGGCATGAAGACATTTCTTATGTATTGATACAGAAAGGATTCTATAAAATACATTTTATTTTTGATATTTTTAATTCCATGATTCAGAAGTAATAATCATTGAATTTTTAAAGTTTTTAAAATTCAAACAGTTCAGAATTAGTAATCACTGTCAACAGTTTGGTATTTGATCTATAGGTAACTAATCTCTATATCATGTTACAATTTATTTAAGATATATTATTGGTGGGGTGCCTATAATTCTAGCACTCTGGGAGTGGACTGCAGGCAGGTGGATTGCTTGAACTCAGGAGTTCAAGACCCCGTCTCTACTAAAAGAAAAAAATAGAAAACTAGCCAGGTATGGTGACACATGCCTGTAGTACCAGCTATTCAGGAGGCTGGGCAAGAGGAACTCTTGAGCCAGAGAGTTTGATGTTGCTGTGACCTATGACACCACAGCACTCTACCCAGGGCAGCTGAGTGAGACAGAACCTCAAGCTGTCCCCCTGGGTAGAGTGCCGTGGCATAGCTCACAGCAACCTCCAACTCCTAGGCTCAAGCAAGTCTCCTGCCTCTGCCTCCCAAGTTGCTGGGACCACAAGCGCCCACCACAACGCCTGGCAATTTTTTTTTCAGTTGCAGCCATCATCATTGTTTGGTGGACCCAGGCTGGATTCGAACCTGCCATCTTAGGTGTATGTGGCTGGCTCCTTAGCCACTTGAGCCACAGGCGCTGAGCCAAGATGTATTATTATTACCGGAAAAAGTACAAGAGTGTGATCCCATTTGCAAAAAGTTAAACAAAAACTTTTCTAGAAAAATGTAAAATAGACTGGAATGTTTACTTTCACTTTGACCTTTTTTTTTTTAAAGTATAATTTCCATCTCATTTTTTCCCAAGGGGTAGTTATTCTTCAGTCCTCAAGAACTCAGCTCCTTACATGGGCTTTGGGAGAGGTCGTGGGGCGGCACCTGCAGGTCTAAATCTGGGGGCAGGTGTTCGGCCTTTGCAGGCTTCCCGAGAAGGGTTCCTGACTGACTTACTGTGACCAGCACAACTCACACAGTAGTGTAGCTTCACATGGAGCTTGGGAAGCACATAGGCGTCGAAGACACTCGCTTCAGAAATGTCCCTCACAGCTGCGGCCTCCACTGTGTCCAAATGATGAACTTTGTATAGCTCTGTCTTGGGGAACACATCTGGACCAGTTCCTGCAGTGAAGAGGCTGCACCTGGCCATGGCCTTTGTTTTTTTAACTCAGTCATTTGAACATAGATCATAAATCCATTTGTGCCATTATGGGATTCAATGTGTTGATTATTTGTACAAATCGGAGTGCTTACATCCTACTAAACAACATAGCCTTCACCACTTTTACCAAGTACAGGATTAAGACACTTGTGTTCTACACCTGATAGATCCAACTTGCACTTGCAATATGCTCCCTAGGTGTGGTCCCCCTACCAACCCTCCCTCTATCGACCCACCCCCTTCCCTTTCCCTCTCCCTCCCCTTCCCTCCTTCATCCTAGGCTATAGTTGTGTGTCATTTTTCACATGCATGTGTGAGTGATTGTAAATTGGCTTCACAGTAGTACTCAGTACATTGGTTTTTTTTTTCCATTCCTGAGATACTTTACAAAGAAGAATATTTCGGCACAACCGTTGTTCTTTCTTTTCTTTATCATCTTCGAAGCGAGGACGCCCACTTTGTACTTTGGTTTGACTCTTTTACCGCAAGTCTATAATACTTTTATTTAAAAAAAAAATAAAATCTAAAACACTTTTTTAAAAATTGGAAACATTTTGAAACATGATGGTTCATTAAGATTGACTTGATCACTGGAGGAGAGGCAGAGAATTGTGTTTAAGTCTGTGATGTGTTTTTTGGTAAGTCCCTTTCATTCCTCAATTCATAAACTCGAGATGATATAGCATAAAAGATAATCTTTGTCAAAACGTTTGAGGTTTTTGGATGAGTGATAACAGATGCCAGACTATTACCCCCCAGAGACCATTTGAAACAGTTTGGGAATCCACTATTCTGCTTCCTCCGGGGAAAGTGGAATTTGGCCATGAGATTTTAGCTACAGACAGATCAGGCAGATCACGGTATTTACAGGCAAATTCAGAATTCACAAAACAGGCGGTCGTCCTTGTTCTCAGAGAAGCTCTTGGGTAAACCACAGAAATCCTCTCAAAATTTCCTGGCTAATTATTTTAAAATATAAATGGCTATTTCCTAAAAAGATGAAAACTTCAGTTTTTCACAGCAATGAAAAATATCACAGTGTCTGTTGTCATTAATCCTAAATAATGTAAAAGGGACACAAAGACATTTGTACCCTTCCACTTCAGTCTTTTTCTATTTTTTATTTTTCAGCTAATTGTGCAACAGACCAGGGTTAGCCATTTTACCTAAGTCTTTGGTATTAATTTCCCTAATATTGCCTTATATTTGCATTTTATTTGTCATTTTGTAAGGTGGATTCACATCCTTACCTCTTTTGATTTAACTCATTTGAATAAAGCCTCTTTTTTTTTTTTTTTAGAGACAAAGTCTCACTTTGTCACCCTCGGTAGAGTACTGTGGCATCACAGCTCACAGCAACCTCCAGCTCTTGGGCTTGGGCGATTCTCTTGCTTCAGCCTCCCCAGTAGCTGGGACTATAGGCACCTGCCACAACACCTGGCTATTTTTTTGTTGCAGTTTGGCTTGGGCCGGGTTCAAACCCACCACCCTCGGTATATGGGGCTGGTACCCTACTCACTGAGCCACAGGCATCACCCAATAAAGCCTCTTCAAATTACTCACTTTCTGGAAATGGCTTTTTGAAGCTTCTCTTAAAAACCACGAAACTTGACAGTATATTGTACTGGGATTTGTTGTTCTGTAGAAAGTTTAACCTGTGACATAAAACTCCTGATCAAGATTTAGCTGGGCCACATGGAAAATGGAATCTCGGGTAAAGGGGTTCCAGATTTTCTTCTTCCAGTTTTAGCATAAAATTTCTGACCACTTCCCAACAAAGTAAGATCCAGTTGAAATTTTAATAGGCCAAAGATCTTTGACCATCAGGTCTGTAAAATGCTGCTCTAAGTACATTCCTGAAGGGGTGAACGGGGTGAAACGCAGGCCCAGTGTGGCTTCTAGCGGGGCAGTTACTCAGCAGACCTTCCCGAGAGTGTTCTGTGTGGGGCCACCGTGGAGTCTGACGTTGTTTGTCTCCATTTTAGGCAGGAAGAAGCTCCGACTGTTTGAATACCTTCACGAATCCCTGTGCAATCCTGAGATGGCATCTTGTATTCAGTGGGTAGATAAAACCAAAGGCATCTTTCAGTTTGTATCAAAAAACAAAGAAAAACTTGCCGAACTTTGGGGGAAAAGAAAAGGCAACCGGAAGACCATGACTTACCAGAAAATGGCCAGGGCGCTGAGGAATTATGGAAGAACTGGGGAGATCATTAAAATCCGGAGGAAGCTAACCTACCAGTTCAGTGAGGCCGTGCTCCAAAGATTCTCTCCACCTTATTTCTTGGGGAAAGAGATCTTCTGCTCACCGTATCTTCCACCTGATCAAGAATATCTCAGTTTAAATAACTGGAATGCAAATCATAACTATGCATATACCAATCATCGTGAGCTAAGCCAGCTAAGTCACCCCGGGTACTAATGTACTTTCACATTTCAGTTTCTTGGCAACAGAAATCCATCCCTAGGAGCTTCCAGATCTCTCTCTCTCTCTCTCTCCCTCTCCCCTTCTCTCTCTCTTTTTCTTTTTTTGTTCCATCTCTACTCTGAAGGAATTTTTTATCCCCCCCCACAAGATTCCAGAAGTTTTTCTTCGTTGGACTGTTTTGTTTTGTTTTGTTTTGTTATAGCAAGTCCTAGAAAAGAAGTTTTGTTTTTGTTTTTAAACCATCATGAACTAGAATGCAGGATTTTTGCTTAAAGCAAATAATGAAGAGAAAAAGAAAACCCAATTAACTTTGTCTTTTTGGTTTGTTGGGTTTTGCTTGTTAAGAAACCAGAGGCTGGGATTCACAGCTCACACCTGTAATCCCAGCACTCTGGGAGGCCAAGGTGGGTGGATTGCC